AGTCGAATCCCTACTTAGAGGATCATGGGACTTAGTAAGCAGGTTATAAATGGGGTTATAAGTCCCCTAAGCGGGTTATCCTAATTATAAGCTACTTATAACCTTACTTACTAAGTCCTATGAGCCTTCAAGTAAGGTGGATCAAGAGGGAGGTTCAGCTCCTCGAGACAATGCAGGGCTACTCCGACTTTTGCATTTCGACGATTGGCTCACCAGCCTCCGTCGACAACCAAGATGGCACCTGGATCATGATGCCCTTTCTGAACCTGGGATATTCGTGGTGGGGATTTTTGCTTTTTGTGTTTTCTGAACCGAACCTCTGCATAATCCCCACATTATACAAATCTTAAGCCCTTTACAGCCAAACAAGATTAATGTTCACAGGGTCCGATGTATCCCAGGAATGGAGGAGAGTTGGGAGATCTTGTCCGTCGCTGTCGCTTCACCGACGGCTGCAAAAACTTTGAGAAGCGGTCCCTTACTGGTGGTTAGCAGGGCCAGGGAAGAAGGGAATATGCCACACACATATACATACATACATACATACATACATACATATATATATATATATATACACATGTGCATATACATATACACTTGTATGCACGCACACACACACACACACACACGTAGGGTTACGGGTTCAGGCTTCAGGGTTCGTAGGGAATGAAGAAAAACGTCATTTACGTCGTATAGTATAGGGACTGCGTAAGGATTATCATTCTTTTATTGCCTGCTACGTATACCCATCAGTAAGGCTAGATTGGACGAAAGTCAACCCTCAGTGGACAACTGCATACATGTTGGTGCTTTTTCACGACATTGTGGCTGGAGTGGAGGCGCTGCATGAGCAGACGGGGATGCTCCATACAGACCTTAAGCTGGAGAATGTGATGTTGAACTGTCAAGGCGACAAGTGCTACGCGGCCGTCATTGACCTAGGAATTGCCTGCAACCCCCAGCTCTGGATGCTTAAGAAGATTCCGCTTCCGATGCCTGGGGTATGTGGAAGGTCTGGCACCCCAAGGTACCTGCCTCCTGAGGTGGGAATTTCCGAAAATTACGGTGCCACGTTTTTGCGGGTCCCGATAATAAAGACTATAGTATATTGGGTCTACATTATTGGTCTTCCCCCGAATTTTTCAAACTACCAGGTCTACAAAGGCAGCGCATGGGCTATGTCGAACCCAGCACGAGATGTTTGGGCTCTGGGGATCATCCTCTACTTCCTCATGTACAGAGGTGCACCCCCATTCTTCCATGGGAATCCGGCGGAGGTGGTTCCTGAGTACCTTACTGACGGTTAGCAGGAAATAAGGGAAGATGACCCTTGCGTACTCCCTATATCATCCAAATAAAACCCCGACACAACCTCTAGATAATCCCTTGATGCTCCCGACACAATCCCGGTGTAGTCCCAATGTAACCCCAACAAGATCCCTATATACGCCCTTTTATATTCTACTCCCTTTTCCCATTTCCTACCAACCAACCACCCTAAGGTATGACTGTTTGGCTCTTAGTTTTATAAGAATCTCTGCAGGCTACAGCAGGACTTGCAGTTGGAATTTCCAACCAGGGTCAGGGCATGTTGACTTGCATTTATTTTGCATTTGCGGTTTGCGTTTTTTTTGCATTTCAAACGCCTTGCGTTTTTTTGCATTTGCGGTTTGCGTTTTTTTTGCATTTCAAAATCGCCTTGCGTTTTTTTTGCATTTGCTGTTTGCTTTTGTTTGCAGCTTGCGTTTTTTTTGCATTTCTAATTTGCGTTTTTTAATGCAGGCTTGATTTGTTTTGCACTGGTGGTGGTGGTGGTGGTGGTGGTGGTGGTGGTGGTGGTGGTGGTGGTGGCCGCGGTGCTTGCTACCAATGCACAACAAGCAACTCAAGGACCAAGTTCTGTCCAGCGCTGGGGAAGTTGTTATACTGCTTACACATCACTTGCACCGCATCCGAATGTGCCCTCAAACCCTAAACAACACTGACGGCGTGCCTCCAAGTTTGCGATCCTTTCTTTCGTGCACTGGTTGTGACTCGCAGTGCGGTGAATGGTGAACTATGAAGTAAAGTTCGCAAGAAGCCTGCATTTGCCCGGCCGCAGCAAGTTCTCTCGCAGAAATTGAGGACGACCAAAATGCAGCAAAAAATGCAATCCTGGAAGCCGCGGCCGGCCAAAATGCAAAAAAAACGCAAACCTGGAAACAGAGCCTGGCCAAAACGCAAAAAAATAATGCAAAAAAAATGCAAAAGCTTGCGGCCATTGCCGAAACCATTAAAAAGTTGATAATTGGCCGTTTCCTGGAGCATTTGCATTTTTTTTGCATTGTGTTTGCGTTGTTTTTGCATTTTTTGCGTTTTTTTTGCATTTTTGTTTGCGTTTTTTTTTGCATGTTTTTTGCATTTGCTGTTTGCATTTTTTGATGTGTTGCGTTTTTTTTGCATTTGCGATCCGCGTCCGCCACCGCTTCGTCACCCGAGTTTGAGTCACTGGATGATGCCCATCCCATGATCCGCAGTTGCCTACAGGCCTAGTGTCCTCGTAAGATAGTGTCTGAGTCTCAGTAGCGAACCCAGAACCTAGTGACCATGGCACGTCGTCTAGTTGCAAAACCTCACAACTGTCAATTTCGAAACACTGTGGAATGACGTATTGGCTGAACACACAAAGCAAGTCAGCAACGACCAGGGACAAATCTGGATTGCTTGAGGAAAGCCGGAGAATGCAGCCAAGATTCAGGTTCATCTTCAAAGCCACAACGAAGATTTGAGGCAGCAGGCAAGCATTTAGCGGGATTACCCACACATGCAAACCAGGAACACCAAGAACACATAGACGCCAAAAGAATGCAAAACGGGAACACAAAACAAATGCAGACTCCAAAAGCATGAAAACCCGGAACACAAAAAAAATGCAAAGACAGAATAAATGCAAACACAAAACACAAAGAAAATGCAAACCCGGAACACAAAAAAAATGCAAAGACAGAAAAAATGCAAACACAAAACACAAAGCAAATGCATAGGCAAGAAAAACGCAAACCCGCAACACAAAATAAATGCAAACATAATGCAAAACATAATTCTGGACACCCACCCAGTCTGTAGCCCAAAGATTCTTATAATCTTAGTTAGGAATAGAAGAATGGATCATGGAGACTATTAATTATTGGGGATTGTATAGGGGCTACTATAGAGATCCATTCCTCCATTCCTTACTGACCACAGTCAGGTATGATGTTCGGGCAGACCCCAACATTCCGGGCACGAAGGAGGTTGACGAGCTTGTCCGTGCCAGGGGCAGTTGAAACACCTTGTTGCAGGGTTCAGGGTTTGGGGTTTAGGGTTTGCGGGAGGGTTTAGGGTTCGAAGAATTTGGGTTCTATAGTTCTGTTACGCTTTATCTTCTTATGGGGATTTAGAGAGATAAAGGTTTAAATATAAGGTGTCGGAATATAGTTCGTGACTGAAAAGCGGCTCATAATTTGAAGAAGATCACCTCTACAAAGCCATAACCCCTCCATGGTGTTTATAGGGCCGCTAAACCTAGCGAGGTGCGATGTTGACCTCTGACTACACCCAGCGCCCCTCCATCGCAGAAATTCGCACGAAGCTCGAGGATCTTATTGAGCTTGAGGATTCCCCCGAGGCCGTGACCCCCAGTGCGAGCATCAACAAAAAGCCCTAGACCTCAAGCCATACCTGTACTGTAGCCGAAGAGACCTACCTTTTTAGGGTTCCTTATTACTACGGTCTCTACATATTTAGTTCCTTAAAAGGGTAGGTCTTTTCGGCTACAGGTAAACCCTAAGCCCCCAAACTGCGAGGCCATGACGATGCTCCACCAGAGCCCTGCAGAACGGGGCGCCGCAGTGGCGACGCCCGAGTGCCTGGAGACCCCTGATGGAGCAGTTTGACACAGGAGCCAGCAACGGAGATAGGGGTTCCATTGAAAAAATACTGCGTTATAGGAGTAAGGAGAAAGAAAGCTGGAATCTTATGGTCTTCAGAAAAGAGGAGAAAGAAAGTGGAAACAGCATGAAACAACTGTACACTACTAGTATGCCGAAACTTACTTGCTTTCCAGAACCGTCGGGACATCATGGCGATGGCGTGTGCGAAAAAGTGTGGCGATATGTAGGGTTTGGGGATTCGGGTTTACTTTGAGGGACTCGGGAGCTTTAGCTAGGGAACTTACCTATCACGTGGTACAGTACGGTTATTATGGGCTTACTGGCTTACTAGAGGGATGACATAATGCACTTCTGACTCCAGAGTCTCTCAAAGGTCTTAGAGAAGCTGGGGGATTAGCAGGGAATAGTAAGTCAATATACACCTACAACTGCGACTCCTGGACAATTACCAATACTACTGTGGGGGTTCTTTATTGGAACTATATAGTATTTTTGTACCCCCAAACCCTGATCCCGTTATTGAGGCCCCTATATTAACCCTCCACAGGAAGAAGGGTTCATCCCAGAACCCTGCATCGGCCAGGTGTGCCCTGTCCGAGCATCGGGTCCCCCGTGTGCGGTTCTCAGCGGTTGTGGAGCTCGGTGAGGATTCAGGGCGAACTGATCATCTATCATCTTTCCCACACTTGGCTTGGCTTTAGCATGCTTTGTGGTGTCCGCTAGCTGAATCAAAGCTGGGCCAGTTTATTAGCTTTTCGGACTTCCTGGCCTGGCTTGTTCTCATGATTTCTTACCTTCGGATCCTGTACCCCCGAGCCGTGTTGAAAATCAAAGTTCGAGTTGATATCCGAAAGCATCGAACTTTGATATCCTCAGCCGCATCCCCAGCTGATATGATCGACCGGGCTCACAGCGGTTGGCTGGCACATGTCCTTGTTGAAGCATTTCACTAAAACTTCAGATGCAGGTTTTCGGGGTCAGGCATCTTCAGCGGGACAACCATGCAGCAGAATTCGCACATGGTGGTTCCTGCTAAACTTGTTGATAAGTAAGCGTAGGACATCATAGCGTGAACTCATTGTCCGGACAATGGCGACGCGCTTGCCAGTTCAGCAGAGTTATGGCCGCTTCGCTTGATTTTAGAATGCTGGGGCGTAGTTCTTGCAGGGTAGTTGCGTGAGGCCTTTGCAACAGAGTAAGCATCAAACCCTGCAGAACAGATTTAAGACCGAAGTACATTTCAATTGCGTAGCGCTCTCTCGTTCCGGATGGCCATGCTCATCCTTGCAATCCCTATGGCCTTGCACACCCGAGAGATGAAGGTTTATTGCTTTTGTGTTTATTTCGCCCAGCCTTGGCTGTAAAGTATTACTGTGGTAGGAAGAAAGTTTGTGGTGCTCCTACATGTTGCTCTTGAACACCTTGCAAACCCCTTTTTCCCTTAGAGTCCTCCGCCCAGTCCTCCGCCCGATTATTTCTTCCGCTAGCCAGGCCACGTAAAATGCACTTGCTGGTACTCTGCATGCTCCGCATGATGCTATAGGGAACTGCGACGAAACTTTTTTCTTGCCGATGTAGTAATTATTTGCATAGGGTTTACGGTCTGAGGGCCTAGCTGCAAAAAGGGGCCGAAGGTTCAGTACGAGCCGTGTGTTGTGTAGACAACATCAGTAAAGAGAACCTGTGCGTGCTAAGCCGATGCTTATGAATACTGTAGAAACCTGATGAAGAAACCCTGGAAATTAGCGTTCTTTAAAGTTCTGTATGTGAATCTTATATGAATTATATGAATCCTAAAATTTCGGAGGTAAAGGGCCAGGGTTTCTTAATCGGATTCCTACATGAACAGCAGCGAGAAGAGCCGTCTCAGGAACCACCATTGTGCCTGGTCCACCTGTGGCCATGGCGCAACTAGTTGCGCGCTCCCCAGACATGTGCAGGGTTTAGGGGCTAATATAGGGGCCTAAACCATTACCAACATTGCTGTGGGGGGTTCCTGGTTATAGTTAAAGCTTAATGTACCCCCCAAACCCTATTCTAATTTTTAAGGTGCCTACATTATTGTGTTTAGGGGTTGCTGGCGACACTCAGAGCCCAGCTGCAGCAAGGCTGCGGGTTGACGTTCCCAAAGATTGTGCTGCCGCGTCAAACTTCTCTCAGCGGGTGCCTGTTTGACTCAGCTGAACACACTTTCCCCAACTCCAAACGAACAGTGGAACGCCCGGAACGTTTTCCGTAGCGGTTTTCTTGCACTGCCGAAAGGGACTCTAAACGGATTTGTCACTTTGGCTAGCGGCTAGCATAGCCTCACATCTGAGCTACTCATACGTACCGCAAACTATTGACGCTTGGGCGGATGCCTTGCAGGCCTTGCCGTAAAACCTACATGGGAGTTTCCGAAAATAGGGGACCCTAATATAGTACCCTAAATATTAGTAGGATCCTTATTATAAGGTCCCCATAATAAGGTACCCTAATTGTCGGAAACTACTACATTGTAGATGTTGGTTGTTTGACAGGCCCCAGCTCCTAAATGCCGGATAGATGCGGAGTATTACGGAGTACTGTAATTATGGTATTATGGAGTACTGTAAATATTATGCAAGATGCACCTTTCAATGCCAATGACAGATTTATTGGCACTTTGGCCGAAGCCTACCCCATGGAATCTGAAAGCTTTGTCGCAGGTGCAACCTGGCTCACCCGCTCTCCCGGTGGCACGCACCATCCATGTAGCTAAAGAGGGGCCAAATCTGTTGGCGCCGACTGTGCCTGGGCTTAAAAGCGGGCTGGGCAATAAATGATGCACAAAATGTGTTTTTCTCGATCGTTGTCACCCGTACTGAGCCAAACAAATGCAAGTAACGCTGCCGGTGGAAACAATTCGTCACAGAGGCTTTGTTTTACATGGCATACAGTGCAAAAAGCAATCTTAGACTTCGGAAGGATGTCAAAACCGGCGCCTTGTTTAAGTCTTTCTTGTGAGCACTTTTGGCAGGTTGAGAGTTAAATTTGGAATGTTGTGGGTGGTCTCTTGGACAACTGTGCGGCTACGGGATCACTTCAAGATGTTGGATGCAGCTTTTGAAGCTTCCTTTCAAGCACACACATACATTGGACTTCTCATTTGTTGCGCGGAAAGTATCCTGCCCTGCCTCGAGCTCATGTTCCATGCCGCATGGCAAGTATATGAATCACCTCTAAAGCGCCAGCCGCAAACCGAAGTGTCCCAGGTGTCTATAGTGCTTCCGCATCCTACCGCTGCGGTCCAGCCGGAGACTCACATAGTGCAGAATCTTCAAGTGCTTGGCAGGTCTACACATAGGTAGGTAGAAGAGTATAGGGATATGTCGCCAGAGAGATTGACATGTCGCCAATCATGCTGCAGATGCTCTGAAGCATGTGAAGGCATTGATGTCAACTGTGCTAGTCTTCATGAAAGCAGCATGATTGTGTCTAAGGAATGAGCGCAGAGTTCGTGCGTGGGTGGCTTTTTCCAAAATATGTAAACGCATATGCATATTCATATGCATCTGTACTTTTCGACCTCATTGCCTTGTCGCATCGGTGATTGACTAGCGAAGATGTCGTGTGTCGGTGCCCCCCCCATGATAACAAAAGCTAAGCGCTCCTTCAACTACTAAACCCTCGAAACCTTAAGAATCGATAAGCCTTTGCTCGCCCCAAGCCCTGAACCCTGTTGAGAGCAAGTTGGAGGCCGCATCAGCTACCGATGCTCCTGGGATCCAAGAGCGTGGACCGTCTCTATCGCCCTGCACCCACCGCCTGGGGCTTAGGGTTTTTGGGTTTAGGAGTTTTAAGGGTTTTCGGGGTTAGGGTTTAGCCCTTACAGGTACAGGGTATTAATTTTTTTCTGACCGTTTTTCTTGTGTTGGATAGGGCTTCTAGCTAGTGGTTTCGGACAAGTGCGCATGCTTACTGGCTTACTGCCAGGAAGCCATCATTGATTGGATCCTTCATCCATGTTCCTATATACTTCCTGCAGTTCACTGATGATCTTGAGGTTGTTGGCCTGAGGCATTGACTTTTTCGAGTGCGGAACATGCTCGAGTTGAGATGCCTTTGTGGCGCAGTTGCTGTAGGCACTGCGGAATTATTAGACCATCAAACAGTGCGCCAAACGTTGCTGATGATTGTCAGCATTGGACTGTGGCGGTGATGTCCTTGAATGTCGTAAGCACCATAGGGTTCCTTAGGGATCGAGCCCACCGTTTATTTCGGAAGCTCGCACTCACGAAGTCTGAAGAATATGCAGGAGCGAGGCAGGAGGAGTTCAGCATCAGTAGCCATATATGTTCTTATGTTCTTTGGGTTTAGGATTCAGGGTTTATTTGTTCTTTGGGTTTAGGATTTAGGGTTTATTTGTTCTTAAGGTTTAGGGTTTATTTGTTCTCTGGGTTTAGGATTTAGGGTTGATTTGGGTTTAAGGTTTAGGGTTTAGGGTGTACAGATCCCTTCTCATCTTGAAACAACGAGCTCGTGGCCGCAGGAGTCGGACTTCACCCAGTCTCCCGAAAATCCGGTATAGTGCCCCTGACAGCACTCCTGACAGTAGCTCTCGTGCCCCAATGTAGTATACCCCTTATACCTTAGAAGCTGCCCCCGCCCTGTAATAGTGGTTTAATAGAAATATAATAGGGCCCGACTATAATCCTTATACTCACTATTACAGGGTGGGGGCAGCTTCTAACTTACACCCCTAAACCCTAAACCCGAAAGCCTAGGGACTATACACCCTAAACCCCAAAAGCCCCTGGAACCCTAAAAGACTAGATGGGGCTTTTGAAGCCTTTGAATGTAGTATACTTGGGACTTAGTAAGTAAGGTTAAAAAATCTGTGTTGATGTCGTACATGGCATTGCACGACTGTAACTTGAATCAGCTTCGCTTAGTCGTTGAGTCTCTAATGCTACATGCATGGCCGCATAGTGGCTATGCGCCGGGCAAATCCAACGGAGCCCCGAAGCAAACTAAAAAAAGTAAGGTTATAAGTACCTTAACTGGGGTTATAACTATAGTTACTTTAATTACAAAAACCTAGTTACTAAGTCCCATGACTCTTTATGTACCCCTTATACCCCAAACACGAAGACTGAGCAGGCACTCGGAGATGGGGTCCGCTCATGGGCGCCGATCCCTGCGGCAACGCCCTGCCCCTTGCGTGAACTTTGGGGTTGAAAGAAAGCAGAGCAAAGCATGCAGCTCAGGGCCCTCAGAATCACACTCGGATTTATTTTGGTGGTAGGTTTTATGAGGAATAGTTCGTTATAGTGGCTGTTATGGGGACATTATTACGATGCATGATGGCTTTGTTGGCCTTGGGCTCCCCATGCAAAGATCATGTCATGTTTCTTCGAGATTCTTCTTGTTGCCTAGACTGGCATAGTGGGAGATGATGGTGATGATGATGACGATGATGATGGCGATGATGATGACGACGATGATGATGCTGTTGCTATCGCTGGTACTTCTGGCTGTTTGGGGGGTTTGGGAGTGTCGGTCTGTTTGGGCGAGCTATCGCTTAGCCCCCCAAGGCCCTGAAATGCAGAACACTGCACAGCCTATGCGCTGCGTTCGTAGCAGCAGCCTGCGAAGAAGCCCAGAGAATCCGAACCCCTAAGCCTTCTTTACTTTGCCCGATTTCGATGCTTGATGTGACAATAGAATTCACGGCACTAGTCCTACTACTTCCTTGCCTAGCCGGCATCGCCTTGCAATGCATGAGACACACAGCAAAATCCCTCAACCCTGATGGCTGGTTTGGCGGGAGGCAACAAACGGTCCAAACGCAGAATCCCTTCAGCACAGAACAACCCTACAGCAAACTCAAAAGTTGGAAACCTAGTTAAGGACAAATAGTGCTGGGATTCCCAAAACTCTACTCTTAGGGGTTGAGGCTATCGGGTTTCCAGCTTTTTGGCTTCTACTGTAGACCCAACTGATCCAAAAACACAACCTCAAGGACCAAATGACCCTTAAAAGGAGGGGCCCCGTACCCATATACTATGAATCCCTATATGGTATATGAACCTTAAACCCTTTTAGGGTTCATTTCGTCCTTAATGAATTATCCGATGGAGACGAGGCACTCCACCGGGCCCACCACAGACACCGCAGAAAGTCTGGACATCGCAGGGGGTCAAGGCGCTTGCAGTTGAGGTTTAAGCCGGTCCAGGATTTAGAAGTCATCAAGGTCCCACTATAATCTCGCGTAGCGAGGCCCTTACGTATGGCTCGGAATCGAGAGAGAGAGAGAGAGAGAGAGAGAGAGAGAGAGAGAGAGGGAGAGAGAGAGAGAGAGAGAGAGAGACACAGAGAGAGAGAGAGAGAGATAACCAATGTAGCGGGGTATGGAGGTATAGTAGCCTATAGACTATATGTATAATAAGCCACCTCCAACACCCTGTTTGAATTGTTAAGGCCCCTACATTATACCAGGTGTCTTTGGGATAGTCTCGGGGAAGGGTGCTCCTTGGTGCCTGATAGCTCGAACCTTCATCAATCGGGTTTCAGGCAAAATCTTCGGTTCACAAATCAAAAGCCATAGACTCCGCCAAAACGGTACCGACTCGACAGACTATGCTTCCAAACCCATACTCTAATTGCAGAGGCCTGTATATGACAGATGCCTTTCTTCTAGAACCCCTTTAAGGGGCCCTCTATCGAAGTATTGAGGCGCCTATGTTAGCAAGAGGGTGCCAAGACGAAGCCCGCCAGCCCATGACCCATGCCACAGCTCTGGAAAGAGGGATTCTTCGGGGCTTTTAAGGGTTTCTTTAAGGGCCCCTCTGAAGGAACCCTTAAGGGAACCCTGAAGGAACCCATAAGGGCTCCTTTTAAAGGGTTACTTTGCAAGGCTCCGTGTAGGGGTTCCTTTTCTCTAAAGGTTCCTGAAAAGGGCCCTTTAAGGGGACTCTTTGAGGGTTCTACAAGGGCCCAGATGGGGCAGGCCCGCTGCCTTGTTTCAGGGTTTTAGTTTGGGGTTAAGGGTCGTGGTCCGGTTGGACCTGAGTCCAGTAGCAACAAGTGGTTTGAGGTTTAGGTATCTTTCCGAGTTGAGGGGCATCAACTCTCCTTGGGGAGGCTGTGTTGTTCTTTTGCAGATACCCGGCGACCTAAAAGCAAAACTAAAGCTGCTAAGGCTCTCAACAGACTCACCAGCAACACCGACGTTAAGGCCGTAAGTTTTAAGCTCAATGTTCCCAGAGATTGAACCGGCAGATTCCTGAAAGGCAGCTTGCGCAGTGCCTTTGCAAGCGTCTTGGTCTAAACCCAGGCTCAGGTTTCACCTCACGAGGATGCGCTTGATCAGTCCAATGTTAGTTGTATTTAGGATTTTCTATCTAGGACCGTTGCGGCTTCGATTTTCCAGTTCTTCTTATGGTCTGATCGTCTCTCGGCTATCCAAGCCAACGAAGTTTTTACTTTGGAACGGTTTCGAGCCCTAGTGAGATGAGACATAAAACAAACCTGGACTACACCAGTCCGCGGCAAACTGAGGCCTGAAACCTACCCCGGGTCCCCTCATTTAATCCTCATTATGACCTGATGAGGCAAGTCGTCCTTCGTCTCTGATAGCTTGCCGCAGCTGCAGCAGTGCATGCTGCATTCTTCTTGGGGCAAATCGTGGAGCTACGGGATGGAATAAAGGTGGCTGAACGACTTACGAATAATACTGCCTAGGGCTCCCAGGCCCTAGTATATGTCAGTATAACCATACGATGTTATACCCCAAAACCCTATTAACATACTTAAGGCTCCGATGTCAGGCGCTTAGTTTCAACACAGCTCTCCACCCACAGCCCGACGTACAATAAGCCGCAGAGGAAGACTGCAGCATCTGGCCCCCAGCACCATGCCAGCATGCACCAAGTACCCGTAGGCACCCGATGGCTGGACATGAATACTTAGAGGATCATGGGACTTAGTAAGTAGGTTATAACTGGGGTTATAAGTCCCCTAAGTGGGGTTACCCTAATTATAACCTACTTATAACCTTACTTACTAAGTCCCATGAGCCTTCAAATAAGGTGCCTTCCAGTGTTTCTACAGCAGCCCCCTGCAGCTCCCTGGGCTTCTTGGATCTGCTTCAAAGTGCATGGGACGTAGTCCGGGAACGGTGTCTAAAGAAGTGAGGGAGTGCCGATTAGGCGTCTTGCCGCAAAACTTAGAAATCTTAGCTGCAAATAATGAGGATCTTCCCCAAAAAACCTCAAGTTCGAAGTTTAGATAGGGAAGCGTTGGACAGGAAATCCGCAACGGTATCTGCCTTCAAGTAGTGGACACTCTAGACCTCACACGCTACAACCCTGCAACCCTAAACCCAACGCCCCATCGTGAACGATTGCCTAAAACAAGTGCCGCCACCTCTTACTACGAAAGAAGTCCCCGGCAGGAGACGTGCGGTTCAGGGATCTACTCGACTCCAGAGACTCTTAAAGCCTACTAAACTATCCGCCTCCCGACGTCAGGGTTCCGGGCTTCTCTTTATCACCTTCTTGAGCTTTTTCTATGGAGCTGCTCTTTGTTTTCTCTGGTTTCCAGAAATGGGGGACCCTCATATAATACCTTAAATATCTAACCTCGCCTAGGCATGTCCGAGTGTGAGTGCTGAAATATATAGTAGAATCCTTTTAAGGACCCCCAAATAAGGTACCACTATTTTTCGGAAACTCCCAGTTCTTGTTGCGGCGCACGCTGTCTGGCCTAGAAGCTTTGCACGTGCTGACTGCGAACCATGGACCTCATCTGGCTGGGCATAGCGCGGGCATGTAAAATCCTAAACCTCTAAACCCACCACGGACCCAAAAGCCCCCCGAACCCCAGACAATAGACGACGAAGCCAACATTGACCAAAAGCTTTTACAGGAACCTGTAAATCATAAATAAAATAAGATTAAAGCCTCACAGAACGACATCAGCAATTCAAAACCTTCAGAGTCCGTTTGAGACGTGAAAGCCGATAACCTTTGTAGAACCTATTATAAGATCAAATAGAACCCTTGGATTCATGTTGAATCCGCGGGGAAAGCCTGTGGAATCCCATACAAACCCTCTGAAACCCCTTTCAATTCTTGCAAAACCCCAAAACAACAAAGCCTGAACAACACGAACAACACCCTAAATCCCTCAACCTTATATGCCTTAAACTCTGAAATTCGAAGACACCCTAAACCCTTAAAACTTATACGCCTTAAACTAAATCCTTAAAACGTATACGCCTTAAACTAAATCCTTAAAGGCTTATACGCTTTAAACTCTGATGAAGTTCGAAGGTCAACCCGGCTCCCTCCTCGCCACCCCGTCCTCCTCGGAGAAGCCAAGCGACAGCCGGCCGCGCAGCTTAAAACTTCAGTGGTTCCAAGATCTTCCTAGCGGACTTAGTAATTAGATCATAATTGGGATTATAAGTCCCCTAAGTGGGGTTATCGTAATTACCTAGTAGTAGAGTATCTGGAATACCAATAAGATGGCTCCATGATGGGGTCCCTCTTTGGGCTCGGAGCACGAGTAAAGGGAGCTAGATAGCTCCTCCGCTGCAAACCTGGTATTCTGTGACATTCCTTTGCTGAGAACCAGGTATTCTGGTATGTTCCTTTGCATTCAAGTCTTTTAGTGACAACCCGTATTCTGTGATACTCCGTGGTGTTCTGTGATATTCCTTTAGTGAAATCCCGGTCTCCTCTGATACTCTGGCCCTGGGGCTTGCCCGGAACCCAGGAAAAATCTAGCTTTTTCTAGCTTTATCTAGCTTTCGCTAGCCTTTTCTAGCTTTTTCTAGCTTTCGCTAGCCTTTTCTAGCTTGTTCTAGCTTTGTCTAGCTTTTGGTAGCCTTGCCTAGAAGAGCGGGTTCCGATCGTACGAAAATATTAGCAGTTCGGGGTCTGAGCCAAAGAACCTCCTGAAACAAATGCATTTAGGCGCTATGGCCGACGGATCGGCAGTGGATTGCCGGCACAAACAGAAGTCAAAGCCCGCCTCCGACTGCTAGGAACAAATAACACCCACCTGTAGTTTCCTGCTTTGTCTTCACTTGTTACAGGCCCTTCAAGGGCACACTGTACCACAGGAGACCGTAGCTTCCCAGCCCAGGACATACTTCAATACAGGAAACCCGTAGCTTATCTTAGTTTCTCTTAGTTTCTCTTAGCTTCTCTTAGCTTGTCGTAGGTTTTGCTTAGTTTCTTGCAGATTCCTGCGAAAAGCTGTGGAAAGCTAGATATGTACGCTTAATCAAAGAGGCGCCCAATCATTGAGCCATCTTACTGGTTTTAATGAGAGTAGGAAACCTTTAACCTTTTTTGGGTAGTATAGTCCCGATATAATCCCTATATAACCAAAAAGGCTAATCTTTAGTTCCGCATGATACCCGACAGGTAGGTCTTCTAGGTTTCAGGGTAAGGGGAGTTGTTGCGTACTAGAGGGGTTCTATAGAAATTTCGGGTTGGGGGTGAGGCTTCTGTATAGTAAGGGTTTCATAGGGGCGTGGGTGCTTCGACTTCTAGAATTAATTAGGAGTTGAGTCTAGGGTTTCAGGGGTCATTATGTTCAAGGTTTATGGGTTACTCAAAGGGCTCTCTTTTGTTGGATGAAGGTAGGGGTAATCCCAAAGTATGAGTCCTTATCTAAGGGATCCTTCGTCCTACCTTACCTTCATCCCAGCTTTTGAGGCCTCAATAAACCCCCAAACAAACCCTAGCCTAAACCCTTAAACCCTATTGAAAACCACTTAGGGTTTTCGGTTTCGCGAATTGGAGCTTAAAGGGGCTTGGTTCTGGGAGTTGTTATCGGATATGGGAGTAGGGACATTCGGTTCAGGGTTTGCGGGGTGCGGTAACAAGGCTAGTACTAGCATAAGCCTATATCCCATCCCTGACCACAGAAGCCCCAATGTAGTACCAACCCAATTTATCATCCATATGTTCCGAGATAAACCCAATAATATGTAGCTTCGAAAGAACTCGAACAGCAGTTGCACAAACAAGCTTAATTACACATCGATCTTTTGTTCTCCACCCATAGGCCCCACAGTAGTTCCTTTTCGGGATTGCCTTATAGGATTCTATATATGAACCCCAAAAAGGAACTACTATGGAGCCTTGGTCTCTACAGGCGCGGACGCATGGGCTTGGGCTCCCTCCGCGAACAGCTCGTTCAGGCTTTGTGACTGTGTGGGCCCATCTGGTATCCCATGTAAAGCGTACTCATAGAGGGGTATTATAAGGGCCTTAATGGGGATCCCATAGTAGTTCCTTTTGGGGGTTAGAAATCGATTAGGTAATCCCAAAAAGGAACTACTATGGGGCCTATGGGTAAAGAACTTGTGGTTTCGGCGCTCGAGGGTTTAGGGGTGGATGCAAACAGGGTTTGGGGGGTTGGGACTTGGGAGCCTTCATCAGTATGCTAAGTTCGCACCTTTCGCATGGCTATGTCAACAGCTTTTTGCTACAAGCAGAATGCGGCAGGGCATGAAGATGCGACATGCTGACTAGCATTTATGCATGCGCACCTGCAAATTCTAAGCCCTAAAACCCTGTCGTTATTATTGCTATACAAAACCTCCGAACCCTGATTAAACCTAGCCCAAATTATTGAAACCATACTCATACTTCACTCTCTTAGCCCTGAATGTCCTGAGCACAGGCCAGTGTTGAGCTCGGCCGGATGCAGGCGACCCTGGCAGCCACCTGTCAGAAACGAAGTAGGATGATAGGGATCAGGGTTTGGAAGGCTTTTAACATGGTTTTGGATTGGTTTTCGTTTTAGTGTGGCGAACCGGGTTAGGGGTTCTAGGGTCTTGGGGCACGCGTCCAAGGTTCACGGTCTGAAAGAGGGGGTGCTGGGTTTAGGGTCTGGGGCTTCAGGCTGTTGGGCCCGTCGAGTGTAAGGTTTAAGTCCATGCCAAGGTTTTTCGGCCTTCAGTATTGAATATTTTTGATTATAACGGTGGCCTGGATGCTGGGGAGTGTTCTTGGGCTGGCTGAGTTTGAGTGTTCCACAGCCCCATCTAGTTCATCCACGAGGCTTCCTGTCATCCGTGAGGCTTCACTTACACGAGCGAGAATCTGGAAAGTGTCCCCAAACACACACGCAGCTTGTGCACGGGGTGGAGCCTGTACAGCTGAAATGATACGTAGCGCTTTCCTCATACGAGATGGCAAGCAATGGGTCGTGGAGTCGCAGGAGAGGTTTCCGGCGACGGCATGACCAAACCCCCAAAAGTGAGTCCTTAAACTCTGCAGTGTAAAATCAAACACTGCAACACACCAAAAAACGTGTGTATTAAACCCCCTATACCAAAACCATGTAAAGATGCTTAGATTTAAATCAAATCTCCACTTTAATGCTGGCCTTACGGGTTCACTTCCAAGAAATGCCCATAGCCCCCATGGTAGTTCCTTTTATGGGGATTACCTTATAGGATTCTATATATGAGCCCCAAAAAGGAGCTACTATGAGACTATGGGGCCTACTTAAAGGCTCATGGGACTTAGTAAGTAAGGTTATAAGTAGGTTATAATTAAGATAACCCCACTTAGGGGACTTATAACCCCACTTATAACCTACTTACTAAGTCCCATGATCCTTTAAGTATGTGTGAGGACATGGGAACCAAGCTGCCGGCGGCCTGGACTGGGAAGTGCCCAGGCTCAGCGGGGCCTTGTGCTTCAGATGGGATTACCTTGGGGTTCCGTTAAAGGGATACCATAAGGGTCTATTATATTCTAAGGGTTCCTTTAAAGGGATACTATAAGGGTCTATTATATTCTAAGGGTTCCGTTAAAGGGATACTATAAGGGTCTATTAGATTCTAAGGGTTCCTTTATAGGGCTCTATGAGGGTTTAGGGGTTGTCTGAAGATTAGGGGAACCTGTATTTTGGGGTCCTTATTAATAAGGACCGTACTATTTAGGGTACCGTATTAGGGTCCCCTACTATTTTTCGGGAACTCCCAGATGGGCTGCGAGGGTTTGCGCAAGGGTTGTAACAACCGTCCTACAGGGGTGTTATTGGGCTAGGGAAAGGGTTTGGCAGTTTTAGGGCTTGTAGCACCTTGTAGGGTGTATAAGGGCAGTTTGGGCTTCATCCGGCTGGTGGAAAATTCGGGTCTCAGTTCGACGTGCGTGCTTGCGTTCTCCAGCATTTGCTGCACCAGGATGTGCGTCTATGTACACTGTTCAACCCTCAGCCTCAAGAGCTGCTTTGCCTGCCTTGTGCCAGCATGAGTGTGGAAACCCTAAGCCGCGCAAACCCTACTCCCTCCCTTCTAAACCCTAAACCCATCTAAGCGCTAAACCCGCTAACCCTAATCCCTTATCCCTAAACCGATCTAAGCCCTAATCCCGTCGAAGCCCTAAACCCATCTAACCCCTAAACCCTAAACCTGAACCCCGCGTACGGCGCAGGGAAAGCGGGCCCAGCCAAGTCCGGGAGTACCGGGCCGAAGGACGACCTTTAGGGCTCCTCTTCTTGGTGTTCTTCTGGCTGGCTCTTGGGACTTTAACTTTCTGGTTTTGTATGTGAACTATAATAGGGAGGCTAAAAGTTTACCTTGTAGGAGGGGACCAGGAGGCAGCCAAGTCTTATAAGCCCTAATAAAGAATCTATACTTAAAGGCTCATGGGACTTAGTAAGCAAGGTTATAAGTAGGTTATAATTAAGATAACCCCACTTAGGGGACTTATAACCCCACTTATAACCTACTTACTAAGTCCCATGATCCTTTAAGTAGGGACCTAGGGCCTTTCGAGTTCTTCTTTGGAATCTCTTGGGACCCTACAAAAAAAGTAGGTTTGGGTCGAGTACCGAAGTCAGAGGCTTTTTGCGCGCAATTGCGGTGTTTTGTTTTCAGCTTTTGTTTATTGTGGGGTCTTGGTGTTTGCGCGGAGTGTGGGGTCGAAGCCCGTTTTGCGGCTTGAGGCTCGTGTCATATGGGGGTCTGAATAATTCTGAAGAATTACCTAGACGGTTCCTTAGGGTCCACATGATTTCAATAGAATTAGAATCAGAGCATTATGTATCACCCAAACCAAATTCTAGGCTCCGATTCTGGGGTCTGAGGTTTAGGGGAGGGGTAGGGTGGGGGGGGGACAACGAGGGTTTTCCGGCTTGCTTAACTGATGGGTACTGTCAGGTCGAACGCGGGCTTCCACCAGTTTCAGACACTCTTGATAAAGTCCCATGGAAACTCTTTTTATACCCTCCTTGCAAGAACCCTTAGTTTGGATGGGGCTAAACTGCAAAAGAGACCATGAGGAGTCACAGTTCGGATTGGGCGACGACGGGGTCTGCTGGTTTCCCAGACCCCCGTGAGGATCCAAAAAGTAGATCCCTTAATGGGGGTTCCTATACCCTTAGTAGTATAGGGCCCCAAATTAGGGGATCTACTTTCTAGATCCTCCCGGCAGTCTGGGTTTGGGAGCTGCAAATCCGTATGGGATCGCGTTTTCGGGTTTGGGTTTCGAGGTTCGTCGAGGTCCTCTCCTTCTGGGCCAGATCTGGCTCCCTGCTCATGTACCGTCTTCCCATCATTCTTACTGATACGGTTGATGATATAAATCCTTCACTACTACCCATAGTAAAGAATTTCCTATAATTTCCATATTTTAGGGTCCTTAAGGTAATGCAGGAGTCCTCTGTATCAACAACAGTTACTGTACCGTCTTACCATTGACCAGGACCATGCTGCAGGAATCTTCGGTTTTGTTGTTCTTTTCACTAAGGCTAAAGCTAAAGTCGACTTGGGTGGGCTGAACGGAGGTTCTCAGCTTATCATTGCAGGGTGCAGTTTGGGAAAACTCCAAGCACCAACGTGTGGCCGTCAGTGGTTCTTGATATGTCAAGCTGCTGAAGCATTGTTAGGGCTCTTTTTTCCTCGAGAGTAGCATGACCTCCAACCTTCGATCCTGGGGTACTTTGGTAATGAGGCTCCTTATTAGCTACATACACTAATGTAATTATACCCAATAACCCTACTACAACTGTCAAGGCCCCTATATAGATTAGTGATGATGCACCGCCAAAGCCACAAAGCCAAACCCCCAGCCCATGATATGGATATGTTCTTTCTTGACAGCGAGAGTGCAGGAGTCGCCTTTGCAAGCAGTGCAGCGCGCCGTGAAGCAACTGCAAGGCTTCATGGGGTGTGGGTTTAGGCTTTGGGGTTTAGGCACAAGGGTGTGGGGTAAAAAGGTTCCAGCAGGTTTGGGGATAAGTTGAAATATGAATATAAAAGATATTATACAATTTGTAATACAGGATGTAGAATAAATAACTAACTGTATACAGTAAGATACCTTAAACCTGAACCCTACTGTAAACCTAAACCCTAAACCTAAAACTAAACCCTACTGCAAATCTAAACCCTGACGTTCGGAGGCAACTTGGAGGAAAGCCTCACCTCTGCGGAGAAGGTGCAACTCCGCGAATGGCCGTGGTCTTGCTGTCTCATCCTTAAAGAGTAGATGAGCCCTAAAAGGGTTTAAGGTTCATATACCATATAGGGGTTCATAGTATCAGGGAAAGTGCCCCTACTTTTGAGGGACATTTGGTCCTTAAGGATTGGGGTTTCGGGTTTACTTGGAGGGGCAGGGGACTTAGCAAGTAGGTTATAAGTAGGGTTATAATTGGGGTAACTCCATTTAGGGTACTTATGAGGGGTGGCAACATGTTCTGAAGCTCAGGGCCTAGTATGGGTTCATGCAAATGCTGACTCCGTGGTTTAGGGGAGGCTCAGGTAAATCAGCCCTCGTTACATACCAACGGTTCGCGCAAGCCATAGATCATGAGGCTGTTCATTGATGGGCCTGACACCAGGCTGACTTGCAACGAAGGACTGCCCTCTTACCTTTCACCGTGCTCCATAGAGGTCCGAGGAGGATTCATCATAAAGCTGTTTTTTGTTGCATCTGCCCGGCACCGTGAGTCCTAGAAGGCAGCGGTGTCGTGGCAATTTGCAGGTGCCGACATCACCTGACACGCGAGCCCTTGCTGCAATTCGGTCATGTCGGCTTCAAGTTCATGGGACCTGCATACCCGAAGCTACAGATACAAAAGGATGATGTGTACAGGCCACGCTGTATATTGCAGACGTGCACCTCCTCACGATTGTTGCCAGCATGTTGCCTCCACACCACCCGTAGAAGCCCAAGCCCAGTTCTCGAAACCCTACACCCTAAACCCTACCTCGGGAAAGCAGAGCCTCCATGCAGGCAAGCGTACCTTCAGTGCTTCTTCTCGCGAGCCGAGCGTCAGTTCCGTCATGAAAGGCCGGAGTTTGGAAGAGTCCTTCAGCATCCCTTCACCGAGCCCTTAACCCTAAACCCCTATATAAACCCTAAACCCTAACGGCTTTAATGTAGAAGCACCGAGTTCGCTCGGAGTCCTAACTTGCCACATTGGAAGTGCTCTTGCCGCATCTCGCGGCTCGTCTCGCACTTGAACTTCGAGTTCCCATTTTTGCCGTGCTGCCACTGTTACCCGATCTAGAAAGTAGCTCCCATAATTTGGATCCCTATACTACTAAGGGTACTTTACAGGAACCCCCATTGAGGGATCTACTTTTGAGATCCTCCCTAAGGTCTGGGTAAACGGCATGCTTTGTTGCAGGGAACGGCACCAGTAGACACATTGATCCTTCCCACACCTTCTTCAGCCGCCGGATCGAACTAGAGTGCATACTGTTGATGGACAAAATCCTGCATTACCCATTATAAGGAATCTACCATAGTTCCCACAGTTTAGAGTCCTTAGGGTCATGCAGGATTTTGTCCATCAGCAGTAGTATCCTCAGAAAAGTGACATGGCGACCTCGCTATCCCTAAACCCTAAACTCAAAGCTTCAAAAACCCTGAATCTCGAAGCCCAAAGCTTCAAAACATCAAATGGGAGTTTCCGAAAATTAGGGCTACCTTATTTTGGGGTCCTTATAATCAGGATTCTACTATTTGGGGTACTATCTTAGAGCCCCCCCTATTTTCGGAAACTCCCAAATACCCCCCCCCCCCCCCATCTTCGCTGCACAGGAAGAGGATCCCAGCAGGCCTGGGCTGGCTTTTTAAAAAGTTCGGGGTTAGGTGTGCACCCTAAACCCTAAACCTTAAACCCCTAAACCTTAAACTCCTAAACCCTAAACCCTAAACCCCTAAACCCTAAACCCGCGGCTTGAGGTTTCAAAGCCAAAGCCGACCTCCGTAGTAAGGCATTCACGACTTCGGACCGCTTCAAGCGGCCCAAAGTCTTGGTCCTTGTAATAAGGATCCGATTATTTGGGGTACTATATTAGGGCCCCCTATAAAGACGAAATGAGCCCTAAAAGGGTTTAAGGTTCATATACCATGTAGGGGTTCATAGTATCAGGGGTATAGGGCCCCTAAAAGTAGGGACATTTGGTCCTTAAGGTTGTCGTCACAACGCTAGATTGAGTGCTTCTGTGGCAGGGATGTCTGTTAAAGCACGCTCTGCCTCCTCCGGCCTTACGCCGTACACAAAGTCTTCAAAACCAGCCCTGCACCCGTGAACTTATCCCCACTTAAAGGCTCATGGGACTTAGTAAGTAAGCTTATGAGGGGGGGTATAATTAGGATAACCCCACTTAGGGGACTTATAACCGAATTGTAACCTACTTACTAAGTCCCGTATTGAGTCGAGGCGAGTCCGGTACAGCGCACACGGCCAATGCGGCAGGCTTGGGCGTTTCGTTCTTGGCCCTTGTCGATTTAATGTAGGACCCTGATTAAGAAACCCTGGCCCTTTAATCCCAATCTATTAGGATCCATATTAAGAACCCTAATGAGGACCCAAGGTTTCTTAATCAGCTTCCTACATTACACTGCTTCAGGAAGTTAGGGAGTCGGTGTTTAGGGCATTGAACTTCCAGTTGGGTCGAGGCTCTAGGACTGAAAGCTTGCAGCAATGGCGCGAGGGTGCCGTCATAATCTTGGCGGTCACGGTGCTGAGGGGTTCATAAGACTTCCATGACAGATCTTGGTCTTAGCCAGCCAGATGTAACGAAATCGTCCTCACACTGGCATCTGAAAGCCATGCTTCCATCTGCGTGCTAGAGTTCAGTCAGAGTACGTCTCCAGCTCGTTTCATTCGACCGGCTGACTGCTATCAAGTCAGAGTTTGTCTGTCGGTCCCCGGCCTAATCGTGCTCAGCCTTTGCAACGTTGCGCAGCTTCTTCTGGATGCGTTGCTGTTGACAGCAACATCTGCACTGTTTTGAGTTCCCTCAACCCTTCAAGCCCATCAGGCCCTCTCATAGACAGAAGCTGGCAGCCTGATGCCCTAAATCCTAAACCCCAGCCACCTAGGCACTTAAACCCGAAACTCTGCTTGGACCACTCACGTATCGCTGCCACACATATACTACCAGTATTCATTATGGAATTTTGTCCCAAAAGGCCATCCCTAGTATGGTTGTGGGGACCTACTCCCACAATGGTAGTCACTGTATGGACGCTAATCAGGACCTCATGGATCCGTGCCTCCCTCCCTGCGAGTGTGCGCGTCGAAATCAACTGAGAGGTTTCCGCGCCCTCCCGGCGTCCCTCGGAAGCTTCGACCTCCAGCCGAACTGCAGGTGGAGGGTTTGTCTTAGGACCTTAGGAATAATGTTATTCTTTTGGGTGTTTTTTTGGCCTGTTTGCTCTGAATGGGTTCGTCGGTTTCAGGCTGGATAGAGTGTCGAGGGGCGGCGTGAATCATTGGGACCGAGTGTGGTGACAACTTCGGGAGGCCAGGGCTTTTTCCGAAACATGGGTGGCTGTCCATAAGCAATGTAACTCGGCCCTGAGTACGGTTCCGATATCCTGATGTGCAGGGGATTTTTCTGCCTCAGCATCTCTGCGGCTTGCATACTCCAGCATTTCGAGCTAGTTTGGATGCCTTATATCATGGTGCCCATTCGGAGCCGGGGTAGCAAATAGTGCTGAAAACTACTTCCGAAACTAGGGGAGCCTAGTATAGCACCCTGTAATAGTAGGATCCCTACTACAAGGGCGGCCCAAAAGAAGGTACCCCTCATTTTCGGAAACTCTAAACCCCTATAGAGCCCCTTCAAGGAACCCTTATAGAGAACCCTTATAGTAACCCTTTAAAGGAACCCTAAGGTACCCCTAATTTTCGGAAACTCCCATTTAGCCCAGTTGCAAAGAAGGGCTGCTTAAAGGCTCATGGGACTTAGTAAGTAAGGTTATAAGTAGGTTATAATTAGGGTAACCCCACTTAGGGGACTTATTATAACCTACTTACTAAGTCCCATGATCCTCTAAGTGGAATGGTGGAAAGGCGCGGGCATCTCCAGCAGCATGCGCTCGACAGGGCGCCGCGGGAGTGGAGGCAGGGCTGCTAAACCTGAGACCCTTTTGGCTTCCTTTAAGGGATCTATAAGGCTTCCTTTAAAGGATCTATACAGGTGCCTTTAAAGGGATCCATAAGGGTTACGATCTACAGAGTTTAAGGGTTTTGAGTTTGGGGTTCGGCTCTTGAGCGTGGGGGTTCAGGGTCTCAGGGTTTCAGATGGTTTAGGATAATTAGGGTTTAGGGTGTCATTTTCGTGGGCGCTGGCCGGCACCTCAGTCCGTGCTGAAAAGGGTGTGATTTGTGATTTCTACTTTGATCCTTACGATCCATAGTTTGGAAGGTTAGGCTTGTTTGGGGCAGTGCGCCTTAACAAAGCCCATAATCATTTAGAGACAATCTAAGCTTAAACCCCCCAAGATCGCTATACTAGTACACTTAGAGGATCATGGGACTTAGTAAGTAGATTCTACTTGGCATTGGGGTCAATTATGCGAAGTGGGGTTATCCCAATTATAACCTACTTATAAGCTTACTTACGAGGTCGCATGAGCCTTTCAGTACAGAAGCCTTGAGCAATAAACCCCCCCTGACTACTGATGGAGCCTGGGGTAGCCAAGCAAATGCAAACTCAACAGCCGAGCATTTGCAGAGAAGCACGTTTTGGGGGTAAGTCTCACTCCTAAACCCTAAACCCTCATCACGCTCATTCACGAACGGGATTCAGGCTCGGATGCCCGAGAACGCATGAGGAGGAGATTTGGGCAGAGTTTGGTGCCGTGGCTGGCAAACACCGAGCTTAGGGTACTTAGGCCGAGTGTTGGAGTAGTGACCCTGAGCAGAATGAGTTAGTTTTACAAAGGGGCGTGAATGATTAGAGCAGGGGGGCCAGAGTGTAATATAATGAGCTGACATAGTTAAGGGACTAAGGGGACATTGCTGCTAGTTACTAGCCCCTTAATCCGAACTGCCTATTCGGGTGTGTGGCTTTATGCCAATTGGGCATAAAGTTACAGGGTCTCGGGCCCATGAAAGATGACGAAAGCACCAGTGACCTCAAGCCCTGGTGAGGTTTTGATTTGTGCCACAAGGCTTTGGAAATGTGAGGGCGGAGGAAGTGTAGCGAATGTTCTTTGAGGATCTGTTGCACTTATGGACAAGGGTAGTCTACCCAGCAAACCGAGTTTTCCAATCGACCGAAACTCCTTTGTTTCGCGGATCTGTTCTCGGGGCGCGCTCGCCGCGAGATGACACTCAGGGCATTTCTGCAAGCCTTGGAACTTTACACCCCAAACCCTCAACCCTTTTTGAAAAAGTCCGCTGGCACACGTGATGATACTCGGAAGGTCGATCGTACGAAGGTCATGAGCCCTTGAAGTCCGCATAGAACCTAATGAAAGAAGCACTGTGCTTCTTTCTCTCTACACATATACCTGCGCATATAATGCATGTACGTAGACATGCGTGAGCAGATCTAGGGGGTATATTTGCTGGCGGTGTCAGGGATTAAGTCGTTTTGGGCTTTAAAACTCGGGGGTCTTGACGGGGTTTCCGAGGCGTCGACGACCAAAGACCTCCGGTCGGAGAACCATCGCTGCGAAGTGGAGGAGTCGGAAGGCACACTGGAGTTCGCTGTGCTAAGAGGGCAGGCGCACATTCGACGGTCTGCAGGAACTGTGCCATCAAAGGGATGAAGCCCTCAACCCCTTGCAGCCTCTGCCTGGATGGCAAGCACCCATCAGAGCTGAGATCAGGATCCTACAAGCCCGAAGCCTCACTTGCCAAGTCCATGAGCAAGCAGCCAGCAGCCTTCCGCGGTCGTCATATATAATAGTATATAACAGTACATAATGGTATTTAATAGTACATAATAGTATATAATAGTGTATAATCGTATATGAAAGTATGTGATATGCTTGTCATGGCAACCAATGGAGGCTAAAACCCTTAGGCCCCAGACCCGAAAACCTTGGCCGCAACCCCCTGCCATTTTCGGCAAGCCATGCCCCTCCTAGCTGGAAAGCCAAAGTGCACATGAACGCTCAAGCCGAAACTCTCCCCAAAACCCTAAACCTCAAAAGCTTAAACCCTTAAGGCCTTTTCGGAGCCTTGCCCGGCATAAGTAGTCATATGGGTCCCAGACGGGCGACGGGCATAAGACCAAGCATGATTGCTTAAGTATTACAGATGCCCTTTACAGTTGCCCCAAGACGGGTGCTCTAAACCTCAACCCCAACATCCCAGAATGCATCCTAAGCTTATTATCTTTTTAAGCCTTAAATCACTGAAAGAGCACTAAGATTGCCCCCAAACAATTAAAACCCTGCCTTCAACTACCAGAACTTACCTTTCCGTGGTTTCTTATTACAAACCCTACTATATAGAGTTTATATAGGAACAGCCGGTTTGGTATCTTCGGGTTGACGAAGCAAAAAAAGCGCTCACGAGAGCCAGGCCGCAGTGTGTCCAGCGACATTCGGCCCCGGAAGCCTCGGCCGCCTATGGCGGCCGTCTTGTCGGGCTCCTCCCGAGACCTGTCTCGGGGTGCATTACTTGGAGGGGCAGGGGACTTAGTAAGTAGGTTATAAGTAGAGTTATAAGTACCCTAAATGGAGTTACCCCAATTATAACCCTTCCAAGTAGGGCTTCAGAGGTTTAGGGTTTTAGGGTTTTGGGGGGGGGGGGGGGGGGTTGGGGGGATTTTGGAGGCTAAGCTAAGGGGATGTATTGCAGGGTAGGGTCAGGAAGAAAAATAGGGTTCAGAGGGCTTGGGTTTAGGGTTTTGGTACCGCCGGATTTAATTTGTCGAATCAGGGTTTCGCGCTTAGGGCTCGGGGCTTTCAGCGAGTATGCTTTACGAAGCCCATGCCAAAAAAGCTTTCATTTCTTCAACGCCACTTACTGTTTTGCACTGGCAGGTTCTGGGTTTTGGGAAGTGGAAGTGATGTTTGTCGATCATGGGGGGCTCGAGGGCTGGACTTGGATCTTCGCATTGCGGTTGGATAGGGACCTTGATAACAAACTGAATAAACAGCCTAGGTTTTGAGGCACATTCTCGTAGAAGCATAGTCTGGCCCTCACATTCCTGGAACCTACGCTACTATTTGCTTCTTAGCCTCAAAGCCTGAAGTTAAACTCTTATACGTGCAGGTCGCAGAGGGTTTCGCAGATGCGCTTTCAATACCGGGGCGCAGCTTTGCGGTGCCCACATGCAGCTTTCCTGCTTCCGATTTCGGACATTATAGCGTCTAGATGGCCCTCATGAACTGGGTAGCATAGCAGAGGCCCACAAGAATGCCAGAAGCGTCGGCGGTGGCAGGAGCTGCAAGTACGGCTTCGGCCCCAGCCCGAAGCCCGAAGCCCTATACCGCGAAAGCCGAAGCTTTAAAGCCTACTAGGGCTTGGGGCTCCTTTCGAGGAAGATCCCCCGGTCAAGTCCTGAGCGAAGCTCGGCGATGGCGCGATGCAGGCGACGAGGGCGCAACTTGGGAGCCCGTTTTGCTTGTGCAAGGCTTTGCGAGGGGGAGGGTCAAGGCACCCGGCTGGGATTCCTGGATGTTCAGATGCTCTCCATTGCTCTCCATGCCACAGCCATGGAAGGCGACCATGTGCTTAGGCTTAGAGTCCCTGACCCCCTTCCCCCCCAAGAAGCCAGGCAACTCCACGGGTATTCTTCAGGCCAGGGGTAGCGGCCACGCAGAGGACTTCGCTTCGGAAGTTCCATGCTTGAGACCTGCATGTACTTGGAGGGGCAGGGGACTTAGTAAGTAGGTTATAAGTAGAGTTATAAGTACCCGAAATGGAGTTACCCCAATTATAACCCTACTTATAACCTACTTACTAAGTCCCCTGCCCTTCCATTTAAGCCCCAGCCGATGGTTTGCTTGGGAAGAGATCCGCGGGTGAGTAAGGCCAGGCTAAGAAAGGGGCCTTTACAATAAGAATATGGTTCTGGTGCCCAATATACTATAAGTTTAGCTTGGTAGCTGAGCAGGTGACAACCTGTTGTTGTTCGTATGGTTCGATCATAGTCAGAACCAAACATGCTAACTTCTTGGGCGAGGGTGTTGAGTTACTAAGCAAGAACATGCAGCTTCGTATCGCTTCGAGCCCTGAACTATCTTGCATCCTTGGCTTGCGATCTCTTCGCCGGAGAAACGCCCATAATGTTCCCAAAATACATAGTCCCCTTACTACGTACAGAGTCTAATAAAAGCCCAAAAGCCTAGACCGTCTGGACACAAAGATCCCCCACCCAGCCCCAAAAAGCTGTTCTTAACACAGCCACTTTTTCCTTCGCCGGCGGCAAGAGTGACTCGAGGGCTCCGTGAAGGTGAAGCCCCAGGCAAAAGCCCGAAGCCCCCCCTCGGCAACCCCAACACAGAAGCCCGAATAATTACTCCTTGCCGATACTATTCCTTAGGATTGTTAAGTGCAGCTCTTCTGCAACACACCCACAACCCTAGAATACAGCCCGGTACCCTAGAAGCCCTATATTCGAAAGCCTTCAACCCTTGAGACTCTCTGAGAATTCCCGTTAGCCCCAAACCCCTAAACCATCCCTAAACCTAAACCCCCAAACCCTAAACCCTAAACCTTAAACCCAAGCCCAAAGCCGGTGAGGATCCGGGGCTCTCCCCTACAGACAGCAGCTCCGTCTCTCGGCAAGCCTATCAAGACGTTCGGGTTGAGGTGCTAAGGTGCGAGGTTCAGGGCTTTTAGGGTTTGGGGTTCTTTTCACATTTTCCAGCTCAGTTGCTAAGGTTCGGGGTTTTTAGTTTTTAGGGTTTGGGGTTAAGGTCCAGGGCTATAGGGTTTAGGATCATCATGGGCTGGGCGAGTCAAGGGGTCTTTGAGGCTTGTGCGCTTGGGGTTCAAGGGTTTACTGCTGTACAGTTTGGTTACATTTCTTCTGCGGCTACAAACTTCGTGAGATTCTGGATAGGATACATGTTTGCTGTTTTGGGGGTTCTGCTCGTGGTGCTCGGTAAATTTAATCGGGAGTGTCCAAAGGACAGGGTGACACTGTCGTAGTCGTAGTAGTCGTCGTCGTAGCAGCGCAGGCCTAAGCACTGAGCTCCATGACGATTGGGCACTCCAGCATTGCGGTCCTTCCCGTATATCTGTGCAGTCGATCGTCAACGGAGGGCAGGCAAGGGGGTCCAGCGGGTCAACTCTAACCCCTGAAACCTTAAACCCTAAAGCCTGAGCTCCAAAAAGAAAGAAATATGGAGACTTGCCGGCCTGGCGCGAGTGTGAGCGTCAAAAACCAAAGGACCTTCAATATGTGATGAACCGGCACGCCGTCGTCTAACCGCGACGTTCTGCTGGGGAACGCGCTCAAGAACCAGCCCTGTCAACGATACGGTTGAGGGTTTACCTGTAACCGAAAAGACCTGCCCTTTTTAAGGAACCATATATAGGAACCATACTAGGAAACCCTAAAAAGGAAGGTCTTTCCGGCTACAGGTAGGCTTCGGATGTAGACTGTTTCCTGAGCTTGAAGCCGAGGAGCGGCTGCCGAAGCCGACGCTTACGCCAGTTCTGCGCTGTCGCTGAGTCACTGAGGAGGGATCCGCTTCTTAGTTGGGGTTTGGGGTTTAGGGGACTTAGTAATTGGTTATTTTTAGGGACTTATAAGTACTAGGGTCCCTTTTAGGGTACTGGGTATAGGGGGTTACACGACCCAACCACGAGAACTTAGCCCAATCGCGGTGTGCCAGGGGGTTTCCGGTAATCCTGCTGTAACGGCATCATGTAACAAACATGCGTCGGAAGACAGGAAACGCCAAGGCACAGCAATATTTCTTATGTGATCAAACTCACTACCATGATGCAATTGCTACACACCCTCGGCCATTTTAAAACCCTAGAAACCTTATTCCCAACGCTTGAAAAACCTTCTGGAACCTTTTGAAACCGCATACAAACCTGGAGAGACTTTGGCAACCAAGTCCGGAAATTGTTTGGGGGTTTGGGGCTTGGCCAAGCCGGAGGCACATTTGGGCCAATACCGGGCCGGGACACCCGAGGGTATGGTAGGGGTATCGTTAGGCATCAGTATTTATATAAGAGGAATGCCCCTCTCCAGAAAACAAATTGGGCCATGCTACGTCGATACAGCCCTTTAAAAACCCCAGAAACCTTATTCCCAACGCTTGAAAAACCTTCTGAAACCTTTTGAAACCGCATACAAACCTGGAGAGACTTTGGCAACCAAGTCCGGAAATTGTTTGGGGGTTTGGGGCTTGGCCAAGCCGGAGGCCAATACCGGGCCGGGACACCCGAGGGTATAGTAGGGGTATAGTTAAGCATCAGTATTTATATAAGAGGAATGCCCCTCTCCAGAAAACAAATTGGGCCATGCTACGTCGATACAGCCCCTTTAAAACACCAGAAACCTTATTCCCAACGCTTGAAAAACCTTCTGAAACCTTTTGAAACCGCATACAAACCTGGAGAGACTTTGGCAACCAAGTCCGGAAATTGTTTGGGGGTTTGGGGCTTGGCCAAGCCGGAGGCCAATACCGGGCCGGGACACCCGAGGGTATAGTAGGGGTATAGTTAAGCATCAGTATTTATATAAGAGGAATGCCCCTCTCCAGAAAACAAATTGGGCCATGCTACGTCGATACAGCCCCTTTAAAACACCAGAAACCTTATTCCCAACGCTTGAAAAACCTTCTGAAACCTTTTGAAACCGCATACAAACCTGGAGAGACTTTGGCAACCAAGTCCGGAAATTGTTTGGGGGTTTGGGGTTTGA